CAATTGCTCCAGCTTGGGCTCCAGATCTAGCTCTCCTCACTCTGGATTGTTCTCCCACTTCTCCTACCTACATGTAAACTGAAGTTGGTCATCTTCTCTACCCTCTGTTATGCTGTGTGCATGGGAAATTGTGTTATTTTATTTGCTTTGCTCTTGATCTGTATAGTTTTGGAGGATGTATGTAGAAATTTGGATTTGAGGAACCGAAGGATCTAAGAATGTCTTGCAGTTTTCCTCTATGCCTTTGTCATTTTGTCTTTGTAAGTCATTTTTGCCTTTACACATTCTATGTGTTGTTAGGTTTATTATATTCTTGGTGACTTATTTCTTTAATCAGTAGGTAATAATTAGTGACTTTTTATAATTCATAAATTTTTACTCAGAGTCAACTATATATGATATTAATATAAGAATGCTAACTTGCTTTTGGTTAATATTTGTGTGATATATCTTTTTATATTTTTTTACTTTCAAACTTATTTGAAAATGATTTTAGGTATAAAAGCATAGAGTTGGACTGTACAACACAATTTGATGTTCAATTTAAGTCTGAGAAAATACTTTCACTGCTGGGTTTAACCCCTTTACTTTCATTGTGATTGCGGAGATATCTAATTTTATTTTTATGATTTTAATTTGCCTAGTGAACAGGAATGGTTTTCCTTTCTTCCTTTTATTCTCCTGTCCTGCTTTCTATTAGGTTGGCCTCTTTTGGAAAAAAAATTTCTACTTGCTGGTTTGAAAGTTACACTTCTAATTTTTGTTCTTTTGATTGCCAGTACTCAAACTTTAGTGTGCATCGAAATCACCTAGAGGGCTTGTTAAGACACGGATTGCTGGGCCCCACCCTCCGAGTTTCTAATTCAGTAGATCTGCGGTGGGACTGACGTACAGTCACGCACAGCTTAAGGGCAGACACACTCTGAGAAATGCATCATTCGGTGATTTCATTGTTGTGCTAACAGTGGAGTGTGCTCACCTACACCTGGATGGTACAGCCTACTGCACACCTCGCTGTATGGTATAACTATTGCTCCTAGGCTGCAAACCTGAACGCAAGCCTGTTCCTGTACAAAACACCATGAGAGCAAATCAAGCACAAGGGAAAATGATGCAATCGGGAGATGTGTGAGTCTGCTGCCCGAGTTAACACGGCAGGTTGCTTTACAGAAAACTTTTTATTCTAGCAGAAAGACTACACATTAAAATAGCCGTAAAAAGTATAGTATAGGAAATACACAAACCAGTAACATAGTCATTTATTATCGTTACCAAGTACTATGTACTCCACATAATTGCAGGTGCTATACTTTCATGCAACCAGCGGTTCAGTCGGTTTGTTTACACCAGCCTCGCCACAAAGACTGAGGAATGTGTCGGAGTGTTGTGGCGACTCCTGCACCACTAGGCTATAGGAATTTTTCAGCTCCGTTATAATCTTACGGGACCCTGAAATGCCATTATGTGGCACACGATGGTATTTGAATTTTTTTAACAAGTTCCCAGATAATGCTAATGCTGTGACTCTGGAAACCACACCTTGAAAGCCTGTCAGGAATTGGTGATTATCACCAGGTAAAATTAGCACTGTGCCCAGTACCTGTTCTGAGTTACACTTCCTTGTTGTTTTGGAATTCTTTTATTTGTTGAACTCTCTTACTTTCCCACCAGCTCGGCCATGCATTAAAATGTTTGAATTTCCTTGTACCTAATATTTTTAGGTGTGCAATCCCCAGAGGAGTTTCTTTGACCATCTGGTTTCTTAATATTGTTAGGAAGGGCTTTAATTTCTCATTGGAGAACATTTTGCCCCCACCCTGTTTCAAACAGAAACTTTCTGGCAAGTTTCCCTAGACTGGTGTCTGGAGGGGGTTTTTTTGGCCTCTATTATATGGATGTCCAGCCTTTGCAGACTCCTGGCTGTGATTAGGAGTTTAGCTCTTCGCCTTCTGTGAACCCAACCAAGGCCACGTCTTCTGCCCTTTGATATCCAGATCAAACTCCAGCCCTCTCCTTGAGACATCAGCTTATGGCTTCCCATGCTAATGAGCGTGCTCTTCATTTCCAGACTTCAGGGTTTCCCTTGTGAGCTTCGCTGGGCATGTACAGTTGGGGGAGAGAGGATGCATTTCATCTGCACTTCTGTGTTTAATGCGAGGGAGGTTGGGGAAGCTATGTTATCTTGGTCCTCTTGGTTGTCTTATCTTTTCAGCTGTTATCTTGCAGAGAACATGGGGTGTAGGATCAAAAAGGTTTGAGGGGCAGAAAATGGGTGGTAAGGAGAATCCCAAAAGTCTGGAATGCCCCTGAGCTCAGGGCTTGGGATTGGTAGCACATCCTTAGGACAGGGGAGTGGTGGGTGGCGCTGAATTGGAAGTAGTGAAAGAAGGGCACCCTACTGGTGGTAGGTAACACTGTAAACAAGGCTGAGTGTGGTAGGTTTAAAATTTTTTATTAGGGTCAATCCTTCTTGGAATGTTTTTATTCTATGTAAAATATATACCACTAAAATTTTTAAATATATTTGTCTTTGAAGTCATTCTTTACTCAAATATTGACTTATTGCTCTTAGGTGGGCACTGACGACATATGCTGAAAGCTACGCTCCACCATATGATTATCAGCCACTTGTGAGTATAAGAGGGCAGACAAGCCACATCCTAATACTTGTTTATGACATAAAATGATTCTTCACATCTAGTGTAAACAGTCAGGCTTGGGAAGAAAGGGCAAATTGCTGAGATTTATGATATTTTACATTTATTTAGAGATATTTTCTATTTGAGGGAGTCAATAAAATGTTTTATGGTTATGATATATTTTTAGATGTTTACAGATTTCAGGGAGAAGATATTACAGTGTCCAAAACACATTCGTTGGTTTCTCCTTCATTTTGTTTTATTACCCCTGTCCCTGAATTTATCTGGAATAGGAACCTACCTTTCTATTCATCTGTATTGCGTTGACACAAAAGTAAGTGACTTAATTTAGTTCTGGGAAATGTGTAGGTTGATAAAATATGTCCAATTTATAACTTTAATATACTTGCACTTAAAAAATCATAGAACAGAAACAGAACAAGGCTGCATCTTACTAGCCTTGGTCTGGAAGACTTAACCAGTACAATAGATAGGAGATTTGATTATTGAAAAAGAGAAGAAAAAATTATCTTTGTTTTAAGATTATCTTCTTAGGAGAACCAAGATATTAAACTGAGAATTAAAATAAATAAGACCATTTAATAAGGTGAGTTAATACAAAATTAGCATATGAAAAACGGTATCTTTCCTTCATATTAGCACTAACTGGTTAGTAAACTATAAAAGAGAAAAGCATACAAATTACTATGCAACACAAATTTAAAACACTTTCATGAGGAAAAGTTTAGATTAGTAAAGATCAATAGAGAAGATGTGGTAGATTGTCTCCAAAAATGGTGGGACTTCCTGTTTGCACAGTCCACTTGCCCAACAAGATGTGAATGTCTCTCTGCCCTTTGAATCTGGACTATCAGGTCCTTGATCTGATCAACAGAACATGGCAAGAGTGACCCTGCGCCAGATCTAGGCCTAGCTTATAAGAAGACTGCTTCCAACTTTTGGAGCCCAGGCTCCTGTGCTGGAGGGAGGGGCCGGGAGGAGAAGCTCTGCTGAGCTTGACTTGTGAATGAAGAAGCTGTCCTGGCATCCAGCCTACCGGAGCCTGGACTCCAACTCCAGCTGCCATCTGACTGCAACTCATGAGAGATTTCAGCCATTAATTTTTTAAAATATACATTCAAAGATAAACAGAAATCTCAAATAAAATGGAATAACTGCCATTGTAGAGGACTGGAAAATGAAATTAATTATAAATTAAATTTATAAATGTAATACTCAGTGGGGTGAGGTTTTTTTTAATCTTCACCTGAGGATATGATTTTTAAATTGAATTTAGAGAGAGAGGAAGAGAGAGAATGAGAAACCAATCAGCTGCTTCCTGTGCACCCCAATTGGGGATCAAATCTGCAACCCAGGTATGTGCCCTGCTGGGGAATCTAACCCACAACCTTTATGGTGGACAAGGTGATGCTCCAACCAACTGAGCTACCTGGCCAGGGAGACAGGGGTTTTTTTATCTGTTGCCAGACAAATTGTAAATTGTTTTAATCTTCCTGGAAAGATACTATGTGTCAAGATACTATTTGACCTGATAATTCTCCTTCTAAGAAATTTCCTCTAAGAATTTAAAGTACAAGACACTCATCACTGGATTATTTATAATGGCAAAATTTGCAACGTGCCTAATGTTTTAGTATTAGAAATAGTACTAATTGAATATGCTATAATCATATGGTGAGATTATTGCAGCCTTTATAACATCCATAGATAGCTCTTAGTGTCTTATAAATCTTAAGGTTAAGAAAAACATTAAGGTACAAAATTGAACATTTATTTTATCTAATGTAAAAATATAGAGGAAAAAAACTGAAGAAACTGTCAAAATGCTGCTAAAGTTGGCCATTGAATGGTGAGATTGTAGGTGATTTTCTTCCTCTTTATACTTTTTAGCATGATGGTTTATAATCAGAAAAAAACACAAGGAAACAAATATGTTATTTAAAAATGCAATTCAAGCCCATTTCCTTATCTACATGGAATTTGGTTCCATCTCTAAACAAAAGGAAGTTGAAGATATAATTAAAAACTCACAGAACTCGAAAGACTAATTTCCCCATAGGCAGAAATATAGGCTGCAGGATTATTCTCCGAGTGCACAAGTCTTTAGCTATTGTGTTACATATTTATGGTTTTAATTTTTTCAGCATTATTTCTAATATTTCTCCATTGCTTACTTCCATATTAACAACACAACATACCACGGCAGTGGTTTGATGTTATTTAGAATTTTGTTCATTCACTTCCAACTTCCATGCCAAAGTAATTGATTTTGAGACATGTTTTAAGCACTGCTTTCTAGCACCCCCATTTAATGAATGTTTGCATTACATTCTTATAGGATACAATTTTTTTTTTAACCTGGCCAGCATGGCTTTGCGGTTGAGCATTGACCCATGAACAAGGCGATCATGGTTCGATTCCCGGTCAGGGCACATGCCCAGGTTGCAGGCTCGATCCCCAGTAGGGGGCGGGCAGGAGGCCGCCGAGCAACAGCTCTCTCCCATTATTGATGTTTCTATCCCTCTCCCTTCCTCTCTCTGAAATCAATAAAAACATAAAAAAGTATTTTAAATTATAATAAGTGGATGGTTAAATAACAGCAGAATAGTGACTGAAGTTATCTTGCATATAAACAAGTGTACACTTCACAAAATCCTAACAAATGAAGGAAAATATTTATTTACTTACTAGGTACTTTACCATATGGCCTTAGCATAAATAGTTCACCACTCACTCAGCCTACCACCTTTGCAATTATGCAATTCTTGAAATCTCAAAATATCTGGATTCACACTATTTCAAATTTTGTGCATGACTTGAGACTTCATTAATTTTTATGTTATGGGCTCTTACATTTGCTTCAGTGCATATTTTCATAAAGTGGGGACAGCATTATGGGAAGTGTAAAGAAAATGCAAGCTATCACACCAGAGTTCTAGACATAGGTAAGGAAATACAGACTATTAGAAAGCTATGGAATCATTTCCAAGGAGAGAAATGAAAGAGAGTTGCAAGCTCGTTCTTCAGAACTCCACTTCTTACGCTGGTGTTTATTATGGCTCTCCCAAGTTCAGTGAAAGATACCTTCTTTTAAGGGCTTCTTCCTCCTTTTCCCAAAGGACCAAACTAGAGGAAAAACTTCAGGGAAGGTAGCTTTGGGGACTGGTCCATGGCTGGCTGTTTGTAGGACACATGAGCCCTTAGGACAGGAGACAAGTGAGCTGAGGACAGGTGTGTCTACTGAATATACTCAGGGAGAGTAAAGAAAATAATTAGTTGAGGCAGAGACTAGGAAACTCGGGAAGCTGAGGGGCCAAGGGAATGAAAATGTTGAGAAAAACACACAGCAGGCATGGTGTTAGTGAGGGAGAGAGAGAGCTAGAAGAAATGGAGGAAATGAGCAAAGGGCATGTCCTGAATTTATTGGTGTTTCAGAGGTAGAACAGGATGATTCTGGGGAACGACAGAATCCAGGGTGAGGCCGTGGGAGTGAGTCTCTACAATGGAAGCAAAGCCATTGAGTTGAGAAGGTGAGAAAATGATAAGACAGAGGGTTGGCCAGCTTCTAAGTAGGGGTGTTGGAAATCCAGCTACCAGACAGCAGGAAAGAAGGGTGCGGCCAAAGACTGAGTCCTACCATCCAGCCCGCACTGAACTTGGGGAGCGCTTGGGAGGTTAATGGCTCCTCCCAGCTGTGCACCTGCCGTCTGGGTACATCTGGTTGGTCAGCGTCACGTGTGAAGTACCATTTTGTTTTCCTAAATAGAGCTGCCTGTTGAATTATCTTTGCAGGCATATGAGTACCTTTAAATCAAAAAGTGTCTATTGTTCAGGGATAGAAAGCTGAGGAAGTTTTTAATAGAGAATTATGTTTTAAAATTGGCATGCATTCCAAATTGACCACATGGGGTCCATGCAGTGTTCAGTCGTAGGTAAGAAAAGAGACTACATCTGTTTAAAAATGGTTCCCAGTAACAGCAGGATTGGCCTGCCCTACCACCGGGCCTCTATGCACTGGTATGGATATAGCATTGTTAAAATGTTGATCTTTTTGTGCTGATTGAAAAGTAGCTGTGGCCTTGAATCCCCCAGAACTCTGGCACCTCAGCAGCACCAGCCCCTCCCCTGGACTCCCTGGACCCCGGACAGCATGATGGCTTTCCTGGACCTTAAGCACTTTTGCCTTCATGGGCTCTTTCTTCCATTAAAGCAAATTAATATGTTTCACAACTACGTTGGTATACAGACAAATATAATCCAAGTTGGATCACATTTGCTTTTGGATTTAAAAGCTTATTACACTATATTTTTCATTGGTGTTTTATAACGATTACCCATCTTTTCTCCCTTCTTTTATACTTTCTCTGCTTATTTTTGACTGTTATTGCATTTTATGGCCATGTTATGTGACCCTGTTATTGTTAACATTCTTGAAATTATTGCCAATAAATGAGTGGGTGTTATTACGCAAAACTAAAGCATATAATACTCACTTTTTTCTGGGAAGTACTTTTTGACTTCTATACCGTATTTTAAGCAATATTTTCTGTATAATAGGTGCCAAAGGTTTCTGCCTCGAAATGTTTTTGGTTGTTCTAATATCGCCATCATTTCCTGACTTAGCTAGGAGTTTCCATCATTTAATAGAGTTAGCTTTTCAAAATGGCATAAGCATTTTTTTCATTGTGGTAAAATACACATAATATAAAATTTACTGTTTTAACCTTTTTTTCATGTACAATTTAGTTGCATAAGTATGGTTACATTGTTGTTATGTTCATTTTAAAAATTCTAAAAGAAATGAAAACATTATCGTCAGACTCCAAAAGTAGCGTGGGCCCTAGGCACCGGGCTTCCTGTGCCTCATGGCTGAGTGGGCCCAGCCTGAGCCTTCTGGAACAAGGGTGGCGAATCTTTTTTCTGCCAAGGACCATTTGAATATTTATAACATCATTCTCAGCCCATATAAA